GGGGGGGGGCATTTCCTTATTATTGTCACCTGAGATGCATACAGAAAATGGTCTTGTGTCTGGCACAGTCATGAGAAAAAGAAAATACACCCCATTAAAGTCTATGCTTCTGTTTATCAGGGGCTGAATAACGATTGTGACGGTCCTCAGCAAAATCCACGAACAAACAAATATAACCTTGGGTGACAAACGAAAAAACACGACAGATTTCGATATGTAAGCAAGCCACCGTTCAGAAAGTAGGGCTATTCTCTCACACCAGCCCCCAACGTGTTCTGCAGGCATGAAGAATTTTGTTCCCTGGGGCCCTGCTGTTATTTTATCTTTTACATTTAGCAGATGCTTTTGTCCAAAGCGATGTCTAATTGAGAAAAGCTTGGGGACAGAGAGCTGGGTGGGATGCCGTCCCTGGAGTGCTTGGCGTCAGCTGTGGGATTTGAACCCACAACCCTCTGGACACGGGCACAGAGCTGTAAGCCCCTGGGCTGCATGCCCCCTTTCCACCCCTCCCACCATGAGAGCTGATGTAACAGGAAGCAGGCAGCGTGTCAGGTGACTTAATTCCTGTGTGGAGGATGGGACAGAGAACCCTGCTTTCTTACGGGTTACTAAGCAGTGACGCGCGTCGTGTGAGCGGTGGGAGTCGGGAGATGGGGTCGTTCTCTGTTACCAGGCAGCCTCTGGGAACCTTTCTCCAATAGCCTGTTCAATTTGTATTTTACTTAGTTTTACATACAGCTTGCTCCACTTACATTGCAGTGCCTGGTGCTAGAGCCGCAGTGAAGCTGGAATGGGCAGCTGTCGGTGTGGTTTCTGTAAAGAGCACCAATAAAAGCAGCTAATTAGCTTAATTGATCATTTTATTTTTTGACGGGCACAGCTATTTGGGCCAGCGTCGACAGCCGAAGTCTGGGACGTTCCAGGTTAAGGACATGTCCGTGAGGGCATAGAAACAGGTGCACGATGAAGAGGAGGAAATCCCGAATCGGAGGAATTATCGGAATAAAGGGTGGCATCCCCCCCGTCTCATATATAAACGTACACACATATGACACCTAATTCAATTTAACACCTACCGTATTGTTAAAACAGACGTGTTCGCTGTGAGAAATGCGCTCATACAAAATTCAGGGGATAACTAAATGAATTCTTTGTAACAAGAGATGGGGTGTGTGGGGGACAGAGACTGTAAATAGATCAATAGCCCTTTGCCATCCTGAGCATAAAAGGATCTTTTAGGGAAGGGGATTCTTAGAGGGTGATAAGGATGGAGAAGCAGGCGAAATGCGTGCATTTTATGGAAGCTCCGATAAATCATTCGGTGCATGTGTGGAGTTCTGCATGCATTTAATCCTGTAATAGAGTTTATCTGTGGCGAAGAATAGTCTGGGGTTCACACAATTATACACACACAGATACACACACACACACACACATATATATATCCTACCAAATGTCTCCCACAATGTAATAAAAACCTATTATTTTGACCTTGTGAGGACAATTTTTCAGGTCCCCACAAAAATTTGTGAATGCAATCAAAAAAGTAAAAATGCTAAAAGTCTCATATTTTGTTTGGTTACTAATGGTTAAGGTTAGGGTTGGGTAGGGGTTAAGGTTGACATGTTGGGATTAGGGTTTTCCCCATAGAAATGAGTCCCAACAGATATAATTACAAACCTGTGCGTGTGTATTTGTGAGTGTGTCTGCATGTGTGTCTGTCTGTGTGAGTGTGTGTGTCTGTGTGTGTGTGTGAATGTGTGTCTGCATAAGTGTGTATGTGTGTTTCTGTGTGTATTTGTGATTTTGTGTGTCTGTGTGAGTGTGTGTGTCTGCGTGTGTGTGTTTGTGAATGTGTGTCTGCGTGAGTGTGTATATTTCTGTGTGTGAGTGAATGTGAGTGTGTGTGTGTGTGTGCGCAGAAACCCTCAGACTGGGTGCCTGGCGACTAACAGAGACACAGGTCTGGCCTCACATTTTCCCACTGTCCAAGATCTCTCTAACTTACGCTCATTACGGCAGAACTCTGCACTTCATAGCCGCTTAATAGACTCACCACTCTCCGGTAGAAACCTTAATTAGGACCTCTGCAGTTTCCCTCTTGATCGCCAAAGGAGATACACTTGTAGTATTATCGGAATGGAAAAGCTGAAAGACCTACGGAACTGAGTACTATTTATTTTTCTTTTTTTCCTGGGCATTATTTACCGCCTTCTTCTGCTTAGAAATACGCTTTCTCGCAATTATTTACGACGGCAGTCTGTCGCCGAGTTAAGTTACCTAAAATGCACAGAAACCGGTGTTGTACTACGTTGGTGCTGTTATACCGACGCACCTTCACGTTGTCCAAGTGTCCATATGCTTTTATATGGGTGTTCCTACCGGGCTGTGATTGTTACACACAGGTGCCTCCTGTTGATATTATAACGGCTCTATTAATTTGATCATTTTACAGACGCCGGTGTACGTGGGCGGGTGTGCGGGGCGCTTCCATCTCTTTTTTAAAAAATCTCATTTCTCCTCATCCTCTTCATTTTTTAAAACGACGATACTTTCCAGTTTACAGTAACGCCTTTGCGACTGCGTCATACATTTATATAAACTGAGCTAAAAATGTAAATACACATAGGTGGGCTACTTAAATGATCGAAACGAATTACTTTTGGAAGGAAATCTTGCATGTCTAGCTTTGGTATTAAGAACCCCATTAAATTACCGAAGACGTCGTTTTAATGCATCCTGTGTTTAACTTTTTTTTTATTTGACTGCTCTTCAAATCATATAAATTAATGCGCAATATTATTTTCACTGTTGCATATTCATTACCGTCAAGTAGGCCTATACCTGCCTGGAGAATGTCAGTTTCAGCGTGTTCCATCGGTACTTGGTTTGTGTAAGTAGGCTACTTTAATAAAGTAGATTAAGCGGGAGAATAATACAGATTATGCAGCATAATGGCAATGCCGCAGATCCATCAAAGTAAGCGGAGCACTTCGCTTAGAAATGCTTAAATGCACGCCTCCCTCCTCGGCTGTATACGGCTTCAAGATGAATAACAATAAAATAAAGAGCGGCTTTAATGCGTGGAAGTTAATCAGGTGCAATTAAGCAGATGCTGTCTGAGGGGATATACGCGAAGCAAGACTCTTCGCTCCAGTATTAAAATTTAATACCCGGTACTAGAGGGGCATCTCAGGGCGGGTCAACGCGATGGTCCTGCAGACCGGCCGCCCGAAAAGGAGTGCTGACCGACCATTAAGGCGCCCTATTGTCCATGCGATCACTCTCGGAATAACCGCCTAGAAGAGCATCAATCAAATTATTCCTCTGATGCTGCAGTACGTGCATAATTATATGGAATACTGCATATAAATTCTCAAGTGCACGGAATTATTCTGATAGATTAAAATACTAATTAGGTAGGCATTGCAGACTTTTGAGAACATTACAGGGTTCAGCACGCTCGCGTGATTTGCATATTCTTCATCTGGCGAATGTGTCAACAAAAGGACTTTTTCCCCCCCTTTGTAACGCATTCATATGCAAACAAACAGCCTGGAATTATGCATCATTTTATAAATGCGTTTCTTTTGCGTGTAATGCATCGAATGCAAAAAAAATGCATTTGGTGACGGCTTAGTAGGTTTTGGTAAGTCCTCATATCACCAGTCCACTGACATAGGCCGCTTGTTAATCTGGCAAGGGTGCTCTTGTTTGGAACTTTAAACTTGGGGAACATGCCCTGTTGTGTAATCAGGCTGCATGATAAGTTTAGAAGCTGTCTCTGTCCTGATCGCCCTCTTTCCACACTGAATCCCTGTTCTTTTTCACAGCTAAACAGGAAGATAACCTGGGAAATGAATCGGCAGTGCGCATCCTACAAGCAGGAGTCATGGACGTAAGTCTGGATAAAAAATCCTGTTTATTCCCCTTTTTATACGCTACTGAAAGACGGTGATTCATTATGCTTGAAAAGCACACACAAATAAAAAGAAATACAAAAAAATAAGGGCGAGTTCAACAAAACAAAAACAATGGTGAGTATTCATGCGTTACAATGAAGCGTGTGTGTGTGTGTGTGTCTTATTTAATATTTTAGGGTCTCAGCAGATCTACGGCATGTTAACATGGCACTCACAGTAACATTGCCCGTCAGCACTGACGTGATCTGCTTCTTTGTAACCGGTTAGCACTCATTCACACCAGCCGAGGCGAACACAATTCTGTGCCGCCGACTCCCGATTTTCCGGCCATCGGCTCGGGAGGGGTGGCAGACTGAGGCGGGGCGCCGGCAGGGTCCCGGGCTCCATTCAGCCTCCCGTATCACAGAGCCGGTGGCTCGGGAGGGGTGGCAGACTGAGGCGGGGCGCCGGCAGGGTCCCGGGCTCCATCAAGTCTCCCGTATCGGAGCCGATGACAGCGCCGCGCCGCCGCCCGTCTCCTCGCTCCCGTCTGCGGGAGCTTAGTGGCGATTTGTCCTACGTGACATGAATAGATGGATGCAGGTGTTGTTACATAAACACGTACATAAATAATATATTTGCATTTAAATTTATCTTGAGCGCTTTTCTGAGTGATCAAAAAAAAGAACCGTCAACCTAACGAATGGTTTTGCCCAGCTGACATAAATCAAATATTTTTCTTCCAGCAGAGAATAAAAAAAGCCCATCTCACAGCTGAGCGGGGGCTTGTATTCTCATAATCCGAGGGTTAAAGCATCATTTTTTATTTTATTTATTTATGGCAATAACTCTCTGAATAGCAGAATACTGTCGATATCTGAGGTTTTTGTAGCATCGCTCTGGAGTAGAATTAATCCTATTCCCCATATTCATGCTTTGCTTCTGTCTAATACCAGGCACTTTAGGTCTCACGCTGTCTGGAGGGAAATTAATTAGGAATAGAGCTGTTTTTAGGTTGCAGATTGAACTTACTCTGTGAAGAGCGGCTTTCGTACTGCTGCGTTTTGTGTAAGATTGAAGATTTTAATATATAATCTGCCAAATTCCCTGCTAAGGAAGCGTCTGCTTGAGATGCCGTTCTGTCGCAGTGACGCTCGCTCTGATGTTTTTAATGATACTTCATTATTTAACAGGGATTGATATTTTTTTGTATGGATTAATGTAAAATTCATTCTGACGAGCCAAGGTGCTTTGATGAGCGTGCTTTGCATTCGGTTACAGTTTGTCTTGTATGGAGGGACAAAAACGTTAAGTATAAATGTCTTTTCGAACGAAACCGGGTGAACATTGTGAATCTAAAACTTGCATTACGATTTTGAATATCAGACTGATCAGATTATTTAATGGGAAAATCCATTCCGCGCGCATTTTAAAGCCGAGGCGCCGCATCCAAACAGGGTCAGATATGCAGATGAGCCGGTGCAGCCAAAGGGACGCTGGAATTGCGCTGGAGGTGTCCTGCTCAGCATCGGGCATCTGGCATCTGGCGCTGCTGTTGATAACAACCGAACAAAACGCCTGGGTCACCTCCTGGGTCAGCACCCCCCCCCCCCCCTGGCTGTCACCCCCTGCTGGCTCTCCTGTGTTANGCTGTTGATAACAACCGAACAAAACGCCTGGGTCCCCTTCAGCCTGACACCCCCCAACCCCCACTGGCTGTCACCCCCTGCTGGCTCTCCTGTGTTAATTGTTTCTCCACACTCCTTTCGACATGCGCATTGGGTCGTAGCTACCTGTTTGCGGGTCTATGTGTGTGTGCCGAATTAGTTTGTATTACAATGTGGGGACCAAATGTCCCCCCACAATGTAGTAAAAACCTATTATTTTGACCGTGTGAGGACAATTTTTCAGGTCCCCACAAAAATCTGTGAATGCGGTCAAAAAAGTTAAAATGCCAAAAGTCGCATTTAGTATGGTTACTTATGGGTAAGGTTAGGGCTTGGCAGGGGTTAAGGTCGTCATGGTGGGATTAGAGTTTTCCCCATAGAAATGTCCCCACAAAGTACAAACCTGTGTGTGTGTGTGTGTGTGTGTTTCTGTCCGTTTACTTGAAAATGGTGGGTAACTCCAGCACCCATCACCAAAAACAGGCAGCGGTGGAGAATTTTTCTGCTGTTTTCCTTTTTTTTCCTCTGGAAAGTCACTGTGAGTCGGCTGGAAATTAATTCGCGCCGCGTCATTAGCGGAAACAAAGTGTCCCCAATGTGTCACCGTTGTATAACGTTACTTTATAAAGCTTTTACCTCCGAATGGAGAGGTATATAAATTAACCTGTGACATTCCTCAAATCGAGGTATGAAGGCGGAGAGTGACAGTGAAGCGCTCTCCTGAATGGGTCCGATTCGCCGACAGGTTCCTCGCCTACCCATGGCGTCTCTGATAGGGGGAGGGGTACCTTCCTGTCACACAGTCTCCCAGGTGTCATTTAAATGACAGCAGAAGGGTTTATGAGCAGAGTCTGTGATGGGGAGGTGCAAACGCAGGGCTGGAGCCCAGAAGGGGCAACGCAACTGGGCAGCTGATACCGACACCAAACTACTAACAGCTCCATATTATCATTTATTATTATTACTATGATTAATATTCAATTAATCTGTTTTCCTTAACTGTTTATCTTGGGGAATAGGGGTAAGTTTGGTGCCTGTCCTAGGATGCACAAGACTCCCAGTATTTATTATTATTATTATTATTATTGGTAGTAGTAGTACTATTTATTGCTTTCAGACGGACTGGCATCTAATTCAAGGTTTGTGCCCCCATGTGCTGTAAAGTGGGGGGAACTAAGGAAGAATCTTATCCTGTGTTCAATTATCTCTCGGAAGTCTGAAATTCCAAGGTGCGTGACGTCACGTCCGACCAATCTCCCGTTCGAGCTACACATCTCGGAACAAACGTGGCTGCCTCCATCAACACGCCGTTGTGTGTTTTTGCTTTATATTTTAGCAGATTTGGAGTGAGATTCTTTTTTTCTGAGAGACAAACAAACAGCTAGAGGAGGCAGGACTAAGACATCTGATTGGTTGGTCCACTGAACCAGTCATTTTTCCTTATGCCCTCAAAACATTACTGTGTAAGTAAAACTCCAATGTGCTATTCCAAGGGCCCCAGAGTGAAAAGGGCCCTAAAATGTTGGAAAATAATTGGATTGGTTTGGCTTGGGGGGCCCTGGATGCTCTCCCCACACAACCCTGACCAAGATAAGCAGTTTCAAGATGGATGGATTATTGGTATAATGAAAGTTAGAGGTGCCCATCTGGGCCTTGTGCTACATACATGACATATGTCATAGATGTGTAAATCCCCTCGACTCTGACAGTCAACATGAAGATGGTGCCCAAGATAAGATTAAGGCAAACTGAAAGATGGATCAATCCTGCATGCTGGACAGGTGCCGGCCGGGAGAGGCTCTGAGTGGCCGGACCGACCAATGAGGACGGGCAGAGTGAGAGGCCAAAATGGCTCCATTCTAATGGTGTCCTGTTATGTCACAGCGGTGACTATTGATCCAGTTAGTGTGTCGATGTTCTAGCTATTCCTGGGTGAACAGAGAAGTCAGAGATGGAGATCGAGATGGCTCAATTGCACGAATGGAGATTTATTTTACCGCTATAGTCTCCGGCATATTAGGAATTACTCATTTTCCCTTCCCCCAATAAACAGCTTTTTGACTATTTTTACACAGGAGTGTGACGGACTGGTCGGAATGCAGCATGAGTGGCTGTTATACGATACTCAGAGAACAGCGCAGCAGTTGCGATTAAAAACCCTTTCAAATGGCACAAAAGAGACACGTTCCCCTGAGGCTAGAACCCGGAGCACTTCTTTCATTGGTCCAGACCTTAAACTGCAGTAGAAACAAATAACCCTCTAATGTTTTGGTCAAAGCAAAAGCTCATCTACAGTCACCATACTGCAGAATTTATTAATCAGTTTTTTTTTTTCCTCATGGACATAAACCACTTTTTTTTCAGTTTGAAATTATTAGGGAGGAAGAAGTCATAGAATAATGCATTGTAAATAAAAGGACACCTCTATTGTCCATAAATGGCAGAAATTAATTGAGCCACATCCCTGATTAGTATTTGCTGTCTTTTTTTAATTGGTTCTCATCTTCAGCTCGAAGGAGCAGAGGCGCTGTATTATCTGCTGAAGTCTTAGAACTCAGATGACATTTTTGCAGCTTTTGAAAACAGCTTTGGTTTTGTTTTATTTGAGTTCAGCCACAGAAGGATAATTAGGAGTTAATCAAAATAAAACACAACCTAGCTAATTAGTCAAACAGTTTAATGTTTTTTTTTGGTTTTTATTCTGTTTCTACTCTTTGTGTGAAAGTAGCAAATTGCAGTATGCTAATTCTTGCAATTATGAAATAATGTCGCTTATAATAAATGAATAATATAATACATCTAAATTTAAATCTAAATTTGAATTGCATTATTGTTCTTTAGAATTGCTTTACTGCACTGTTTGGACTGTAGAGGGTGTAGTCATTAAAAAACTGAGCTAATTGATTAGAAATCGCTCAACCCGCGTAATCTGGTGAGCCAGGGGCATGCTGGGATAGCTCTGGAGGTGTCCGTCTCATCTTAAATTGCTGCTCATGGGAGTTTTACTTACGCAAAAATGTCCCTTCTGCCCAAGGAACATTTTTTGCGTAAGTAAAACTCCCACGAGCTAAATTGCTTCAGTGCATCCAGAGAAACGTTTATAATGATTAGTTCGCAAGGGTTTCTGGGTAATGTCATCTTAAGGGACAATTTAGCATTGTTATGTTCAGACACACAGTTTACAGCCCGTCCTGAGACTGCCGGTTTATGCCTGCGCGGCGGAGGACCTGGACGTCCGCTACGGCGGCGGCGATTTTTTTTTTTTGAAGCCCCCGGTCATTAGCATTTATAGTGCTGTTCCGTGCCTTCCTGGTAATTCGGTCCCCCCG